GTTTTATTTCTTTTTTTACTAATATAAGGTGAGGTTTCAAATGTTACACATCATGCGCAACTACTATAACGCTGCTGGTTTTTTTTTATTATTTTTTCTTTAGATTTATTAACCTATTAATTTTATATTTTGAATTTTGAGTAAGTATCCTATTTGAAGAAGTGATAGCCTTATCAGTTCTTAAAATAAGATACCCACTTAAGCGGCTGCTTAAAGCAGCTGGATAGCGAAAAGTTTTAAATAGGATTCCAGTTTGAGGTTATTAGGGGGTACTCAAATGTTTTACCTACATAATTTTATGTTTGTCTAAGTTGTAAATACATTCAATTTTACTTCATATAGATTCAATTTTTTTTTCAAACACAAACACTGACTAGTACCCCTAGTACGAACTATTATCGAATTCGAATAGTTTGCGAGTGCTAAAGTCAATGTCAAATTTTGTATGAAAACTTTAACAGCAGCGCCAGTCCGTCCGTAACGAGAACTTAAAATCAGTACACATTAGACAATGATATTTCAGACTTGGAAAACGTTACGAATTCGATATTGGTTAGTGCTAAGAGTACAGCAGCACGAACCATTATCCAATTCGAATAGTTTGCGATTGCGAAATGTCAATGTCAAATTTTGTATGGAAACTTGTAGAGCAGCGCCGCAAAGTACGTAACGTGAACTAAAAATCAGTACACAATGACATTTCGGGAGTAAGAACGTAAGGGTACAGTACCCGTAGCACGAACCAATATCAAATTCGAATAGTTTGCGAGTCCGATATGTCTTTGTCAATTTGTACTGATTTTTAGTTTACGTTACGTATTTTGTGGCGCTGCTGTTCAAGTTTCCACACAAAATTTGACATTGACAATTCGCACTCGCAAACTATTCGAATTCGATAATGGTTCGTGATAGGGGTACAGATATTTTGATACCCAAAATAAAAATACCATCTTTGCAAATATTTTATATTTGTTTACACCAAACATGAAGTGTTTGAGTTCCCATTAACAAAGCATACAATGATATTATTAATAAACCATTAAGAGTGACACCTTTAAGTAATATCTCGATTCTAATTCCTTCAGATCTGATTGATTAAAGCCATTCTTTAATCAAAACGTGAGTGCAATTCCAATTTGCAAACACAATTGTAATTGTTTTGATGTAGCATTTGTTAAACAAAGTCCCTGAGTGATGAGTGTAAATAGTTTACTAGAGAATTACGAAATTATTACCTATACCACCTACATACTTAAAATGACAGTCACTTATATATTGTTTTAAACTTTAATGGTCACTAACTAAGCGCCGTGATCATGGCGCTTGCAACAGTGCCGAAATATCGGAGACTCATAAAAAACAAGGTACATGGTAACAATCCCGTTAATATCTATAATGACAGTTACTTCTTTCAACAGTTCAGTGTAATTTAAAGATTAAAATGTAGCTCGTAAAGTGACATAGGCCTAGTGTATTTCAACTGGTACACTAACTCGACGGAACCACACAGCATGCACCGTATAGGGTACACTGGACTGTTGACGTGTTAAACTTTATTACAAACAATATGTACGCCAAAGCAGTTAAAGCTGATATCAGCTTAGATTAAAACAAAAAAGGAAGATACGGCACCCGCGGCTCAAAAGTGATCCGCTTAAATTATGGTCCATGACCATAATTCGCTTTAGTCGTGCTTTGGTCACAATTGGACATTCAAACACGCTGCATGTGAACTCAATATAACAATATTGCGTATATTCTGTGCTATGAAGATAAAACAATGCCTTTCATGCTTTTATAAAGAACACAAATAGTTCAAAAACAAATGCCTCGGCAAGACTTTTCATTCGTAAAACTGTAAAAACATTTTTACACAATTTTCAAAACTCAAAATCACGGTTTGTCAATGTTATTTATGTAATCGCCATTTTGTTATCTAGAAAAATACGCTGCGTTGAAGCGTATAATTCTGTCTCGCTCGCTCGATTGAATGTTTTATACAGACGTGTGCGTGTGTGAGAGTTGCTTATGTAGTTGAGTCGGATCATATTTTATTTGATGCTAGTATGAGCGTACCGTAACTACCCTTTTTGTTTTAATCTTAGGATATCAGGTATCATTTACTACTGTAGCGCACGGTACGGATAGCTACAGGCCAAGTTGGCAACAGACCAACTCGAAACAGTCAAATTTCGCCAACTGACTTTGAACTTTATACTTCTTGATATATGATCCACAATTCGTTGAGACTCTTTTTGTGGTGTGTGGATGTCTAACCTATCATTTTAGGGTGGCTGATATGTGAAAATTATGTTGTATTAACCCATATGCATCGGTCAGATAAAGGCTTTTAAAAACAATAACTATTCTTGTTGACTTTAAAGTAACTCATACAAAATTTTCCATTAACTATGTCTTACACTTGAGAAAATCGGCTCACCTTATTTTTCCACGAATAAATAGAAGAAACAAACATTTTATCCGTGCACTGAATAAAGCAGTGTCATTATATGATAAGGCTTAGCCCTTGTTTGTCTATGCAGTGGAAACAAAAAAATGTTTTAAACAGTTACACTAAATTTTATTCAAGATTTGTGTAAAACTACCTTAAGACTCGTTTCTTGATATAAATGAGGAATCAAAAACAGTATTCTTACTGTGACAGATAAATGTTATTGCATTTTGTTATTACAAATAAATGTGATTTCATTTTTGAGATGACCAGATAATTTGTGATGTAGCATTTATATATGATCTTTAACTTGTAAAAACTAAAGCATCATCGTTTAAGTACCAATGGAACACTCTTGATTTTAGAATGTTCACAGCTAAATACACAAACGCTTTTATAATAAACTCAAGTGTTCGTAATACTTGATGAAAATTACTGACCTACTTAAATCTAAAATGTATATGCTCTTTATTATTAAATGAGACTTTATATGCTGGCACTTTAAATAAATAGTCGTATTTGCTTACTTTTTTGCGCATTAGGTTGAAAACAGTTTATTCTTTTCATACTCTAAAGGTAATAAACCCGAGAGACTGCTAGTAAATTTAACTTAAGCAACTGCAACAGAGTTCGGAAACTATCATTCAACTCAGCATAGGCAGCAAATTTTATTTCTTTATTTACTAATTTAGTACACAAACACTTAAACTCAAGCTTATTTCAGGCACTGTATAAGCAGGCCCGCGAAAGGAAAGAACATTAAAAGGCTTTTTTTAACTTTCCGAAAAGTCTTAAGTTATGAATGCCTGCAAAATTTAAGATTCTTTTTTTTTTCAGGTAAGCGTTTGAATATTCAGCATACAGTGTTAAAATAAACATTAATAGAGATAGGCAAGTAGTTTAAATATTACCATTTTTAATAACTAAGTAGTAATTAAAAAGGGTAACTTAACAATAATAGTAAAGAATTTTTGATATTAAACATTGTATACATTAATTTATAAAATGCGTTGTACAGCCCCAAATAACTTAATTTCGACTAATTCTTTGATTTATCATAATAAATAGGTCGATTCTTTATAATCACAAATAAGTTGGTTATAATTAAATATGAGTCCTAAATAACATAAATAAAAAATAATGACGAAAATCGTGTAGCTTCCTATGTTATTGTTAGTTTTAAAGCTTCTTTGGTTTTGAGCTCCTTTTCTCTCATGTAACTAATTTTTATTATATTTCATTGCGGACTCATTGCATTTCGTTTAGTTTTAACAAATAAAAAGAATAGCAATAATTAGGTACTCTATTTAGACTACAATTTTAATTTCGTTAAAAATTAATATTATCCATTTTCACAAGTTACTATCAAAAACGTAGTAGTACCTACTCAGATCGAACTAGCTTTATGTTTAATAATATTATCTAATTTATCATAATTGTGCGTAAGACAGTACTATCCAATGCTGCGGTGATTTAAAATTTATATTTAATTTAACCTAGTGTAAATTTAAAATCATATCAAACTTTTGTTTGACCCACAAAACATTCTCATGTGGCTACTTACGCAGCTGTATTTTAAAAAAAGAATCTGTGGGGTATCGCGAAAGTACTACCACTGTAGCAAAGCTGAGACAGCGACCTGTTGGCCCTGCACAGCAACACCAGCAGATTAGTTTTGTTGTTTTTGTTTTTTTTTCTTTGTTGTTGTTCTTCAATTTCGTTTTGTTTTCAATGTACGTATGCTGTGCAACCAATAAATGTTTTTCTTTTCTTTCTTTTTTTCTTTCAAATAGGTATGTAAAATTAAAATAAACGAGTTTTATAAGTAGTTGAAGTGTAACCACGAGATGTCGTTATTATAATTTAGAATATAATTTACATCTTTTGCCTAAATTCTGATAATGTATTTAGATTTTTCACATTTGTTATTACATAGGTAACTGTATTAATCTTTATGATTAAATACTTTAATTTTATTTAGTCATGTAATATTCTAAGATATGCCATACATACCAAAATTTATTTTATTTGTAAAGATTATTACTTAAAATAATTGATTTTACTACCCAAAACATTAAAAAAAAAAATTATACGGCAGTCCCATTTTTTTCAAGATTACTTAGATATATTAAGGTGTATCCTACATAGTCATTTTATTCAAATTTACCTTTATAACTGGTCAAATACAACTATTCCTAGCGCAAATGTATTATTTAATGCTAGAGCCTCCAATTTACATACGTGCAGTCGATATCAAATAGGTTACCGTAAAGTAAAGAAAGTTACTGAAATGTAGCTACATTTCAAACGCAGTAACATTAAAAAGTAATTGAGTACCTTTATGACATTAACCTTTAATGAATTAGCAAGAATAATTTATTGGTAACTTCAGTTCAAATTAACTGGGTTTTGAGCATAATGCTTAAAGTTCAAGATAAGGTTTACATTTGCTATGTCAAAACAAGATTACCACATTTATTAAGGATATAAAAAAGGTTATATTAATTAGGTATCAACTGACGGAGACACTCAAACATAATATACATGAGAGTGAAAATAAATAAAAGTAATGACAAAAAATACTTTGTAGTTAAAATAATTAAACAAAAACATAAGAAAGAAGTAGGTAACAAGTTATAAACATTTTTCCAATGGGTTGTTCTACAAAGGTCTTTTTTTACTTAACTAACATATTGACAATAAATAAAAGTTTTAAGTACTAAAACAACAGAAACAGGTAACAACATTGACACAGTGTGATATAATTTAATACTAACTTACCTTAGCCCTGTATAACGATGGGTTTTTTCACTAATCGTGATGCCTTAATTAAATAACGAAAACTGTCCAACCCATTTCGAACTACATATTTACAAACCATTCAAAGAATACAATAGGCGACGAAGTATTAACTATCATCATAGTCATAATAATATAGTGACCAACATTCCATTCTGAACACATTAGGTTTCGAAGATGACTCTTCATAATTTAAAATTTTGATTTACTTAAATTACTATAGCCTGCTAACTATTATACTAAATCGTAGTATGTTAATGTTATGTTTAGTCTAGTTGGCATTGGAATTTCGCGATAGTTTCTTTTTGCTCTTGGGATACAATCCTTCGATGCCTCTTCCGAATGGTGAAGCAGAGTTCGTCGTCAGGTAAAAGTTACCTTTTGCTCTGAAAATAAATTACAATAATTTAAGACCGGGAAGAATCGAGAGAAAATTGTAATGGGATACGTTTGTAAAAACAACGGTACAACATAGTCAGGTGTCATGTAATTAAGAAATTAGGATTGACACTTCTTGGTCTCCTTTGGTATTTAATAATAGATTCCGATTATCCCACCAGACGTTAATTGTAGGTCAAGATCAAATAATATTCGTATCGCGAAAGAGTATTTTTATAGGTAGTTGTAGCTGAGATAACAATTAACGGGACAATGATGTGAGATGAAAATCAGTTATACCTTATTTCCACTAAGCGACTAGCCGCGGGCGACTGCAACCGCTAACGGCTAGCTTTGTAGAGACTGGTCGCCCGCGGCCACAACTCCAGACTACTACTACCAAACAAGCTCATTTTCAAAATGGATGTCGAAGAAAGAACATGTCTTTAACATCTTTATAGATTTAAGCATTTAACTATGCATACAAAATAAAAGTCTAACATGAAGACATATTAAGCTCAAGCGGCTCGAATTTCCATTGACGCGACCGCGACTTTTAGTCGCCGCGACTGCAAAACAACACGCGACTCGTGTAGCCGAGCGCGACTCAACATCTACGCAAAACTTTTGTGCTGCACTGCGCAGTCTGCCGCTTTTCTTAACAATGGATGTATTCAAAATCTATGTTTTCTCTTTCTTTCTGTTAATAAATATAGATCCATTGTTAAGAGAACGTACTACAAAATGTGCATTTTATTTGTTCTATAATAAGTTACGGGAGCACGACACAAACATTTTCAATTACTCACGGATGTCAGTGAATTCTTTTGATGAGTTGTTATCAAAGCTAAGGCTATCAATCAGCATATCTGTGCTGTGTGTGAGAACTACTGGTCACAACAATGGTCAATGTTGGCGCGCTCGGCTACTTGTACGTTGGGAAATATCCCCAACGCTATTCGTTAAGAAATATTCTCTACCTTTTCGGTTTAAGGGCTCCACAATTTTATTAAAATGTATAGGTAGGTTTTAGTTTACAAATTCTGTTTTATACCTCAATTAACATGTTAAGTTTCTGAAATTTAACATATTCAATGAAGCCGTTAAATGCTAAAATATTCAAAGAAATCATACTTAGTATCACATTTGTAGCCCATGTAGATCATGCCGACCTCGGGTGTAGGGTTGCAACGGAACCTCTGGTACGATTCCGCGGGTGATGCGGGGAAAGCCTCAGGGTTTCTTACGGACTCCGCGTAGAATCGCCACGACCGCCAGTGACTGCACAAATCTGTAACGAGTGAATGTTTTGTAAGTAAAAACTGATCCATAATGTGGTATTTTCTTCTATGTTATATAAATGAATGAGCTCTCTACGGTGTACCCTTATTGTCGCCGCACACGGGCCACCGATCACAACCACAAAACGCCAAAGTGCTATAACATGGTTCTTTTCAAACGAGGTTAAAAAGAGTGTTCCACCAAAGGCAGAGGCATGGCTGCGTCACTGGCATTGCTGAGGGCGACGGTGACCATCTAACATAATATGAGGTAGCCCGTCTGATCTCCTCTCTAACCTCAAAGGTAATTAAGATTTTAACACAGATGCGAAGAGTTTTTAAAGCATCGGAACCTGCGCGTGCGATTCTCCTGGAGTTGCAAGCGTACATAGATCCCGTTGACCGCTTACCATCAGGCAGATAGTGTGCTAGTTTGTTCGTATGGTTCACGTCCACGAACTGAGTATCTTCGGAGTTCATGTGCGCCATCACCACTACGCCGGATTAGAATGCGGAAAACGCGAGATCTATTAGTTCATGTCATCCGTGAGCGGTAGTAGTGCGAAGCGTGGGCACTGGATATTCTTCCCGACGGGCCAGAAGTCCGTGTGGATATTGCCTACGAACTCTGCGTATTCTGAGTTGATGTGCTCCATCACCACTTCGTCAGGGTAAATTGCGAGAATGATCTCTTACTATCATCCGTAAGCGGAACAGGTGCAAAGCGTGGGCACCCCGGCTGGGTACTCTTCCCGCCGTTGGGCCAGAAGTCGACAGTGCCGGTGCGCACGGGTGCGCCGTACCCGCCTGCGTCCGTATGGATCACGTCCACGAACTCCGCGTCTTCGGAGTTGATGTGCTCCATCACCACTCCATCGGGGTAGAAGGCGGGAAACGCTGGATCGAGCGCTGTTAATCTGCCAAAGTATAAAAATACGTGTCGGTGAGTTTAGTCCCCGTAGCATAAGCGATTCCAAATTTTGTTAATGGTACTGAAGATTAAGGTAAAGATTGAGAATTAATGATTTTATTTTTGTGGTACTTATTATATATTTTTGTGAAGTTTATTTGCTTTTCAATTTTGTCTAATTAGTGTATCGGTGCTTATGGAGCTACCTATTTCAACTCGAAGTATGGGAATGTTGAAAAGTAAACATTATTATGCATCAATTAAAGTGAGAAGTAGTTGTTTACAGTTAAAATGTGACAATATTTCAATACTCGAGATCGATAGTTTTGGGAAACTGAGTATCGAGTTCAAAAGCAAGTGATTTGATAATCACTTCTCAAGGTTATAAATCTACCTTAAAGAGTAGGTACAAAGTTGAGTTATAAAAAGGTATCATCATTTTTTTTTATGTTATAGGGGGCATACGAGCAGACGGCTCACCTGATGGTAAGTGATCACCGCTGCCCATGGACACTTGCAACACCAGGAGTATCACAAATGCGATGCCGGCCTTTAAGGAAGGAGTACGCTCTTTTTTTGAAGGTTTTTGGGTCGTATCGGTCCGGAAACACTGCTGGCGACAACATATTCCACAGTTTTGTCGTACGTGGTAAAAAATTTCGACAAAAACGCACGGTTGTGGATAGCCACGCATCAAGATGATAGGGATGAAATTTTTGTCGCGATGTACGAGGGCGAAATGCAGCAGCTGGAATTAATCCGAACAATTCCTCAGAACACTCCCCGTGATAAATGCGATAGAAGATGCAGAGCGAAGCTACATCCCTACGCAAAGCCAAAGGATCATCATCATCAGCCTTTAATGTCCCACAGCGGGGGCAAAGGACTTTTCTGATGCAATAAGCAAATTGGGGTCGTGACCCACCACTCGAGCTCAGTTCGGATTGGTGGGTGCTAACAACTGCAGATGCAGCCGAAACCAACGGCTTAACATTCACCTTAACCCTCCAGAGCACGGAGGAACTCCATATACAGTGAAACTTGGTTAAGTGGGATCTGGATAAGTGAGAAACCTCCATAACTGGAACTCATGCTGAGGTCCCAACACTTTGGCAATGAATTACCTCTGTTAGTGGGACGAGGTAAACCTCTATATCTGGGATTTGTTCTTTCGATTTATCATCATAGTTACCTCTATAACTGAGACAGCGAGTAAATTTTATATGCATCAACCTCTGTAACTGAGATAACATTGTTTGTTTACTCATTCTTATTCTACCCACAAATTCCACACGTAATTCCAAGTACGTAAGTACAAATTTTGAGCTTCAATTACCTTCAATTTTAGTTTCGCTTTACTATCATACAGATGTTTATTTGAAAAATGTCAAAATGAAAGCTACAATCGTTATCATTACGTGAAAAATATCTGTTTATGAAAGTGGGAAGACACGCGAAGAAGTTTGTGCCGAATTTAACGTGCCAATATCTACTCTTTGTAGAATAATTCAGAGTAAACATAAAATTGAATCACAATGTTCTGAAGGACAAGGAAAACTAAAACGTGTACGTTTATCAGAATATCCTGAACTTGAACAGTGTTTGCTAACATGGGTTAAGCAACTTCGTAACAAAAACGTTTCGGTATGTGGACCGATGATTAAAGAAAAGGCACAAGATTTCGCGCGAAGGCTCGAAATTCATAATTTTTGTAGCAGCAATGGTTGGATGGAAGGGTTTAAGAAAAGAAACGGTATAGTTTTCAAAGCAATTTGTGGAGAAAGTAACGCTGTTGATGTTAACAAATGTAGCCAATGGATTGAAGACCTACCAATTCTATTACGCAATTATTCTGCTGATGATATTTTTAACGCAGACGAAGCGGGTTTATTTTATAAGTGTCTACCCGATAAAACTTTTAACTTAAAAGGCGAGTCTTGTCATGGCGGGAAACTTAGTAAAGAGCGCATTACAATACTTCTAGGTGCTAACATGTCAGGAACTGAAAAGTTGCCTATCCTATTAATCGGAAAATCTAAGTCTCCATGATGTTTCAAAGGTGTTAAAACTTTACCTGTGAATTTTATTTAATGATCGCACCTGTATAACTGAAATAACCTGTATTCTCACCTCTATTAATGGAACCCTCTGTAAATGAGACAGATATTTATTTATACCTGTATATCTAAGACACTGGGTAGGTGGAATACCTCTATAAGTGAAACGACATTGCAGGTCCCTTGATGTCTCACTTAACCAGGTTTCACTGTAATACATTTTTGGTCACCCATCCAATGACCAACAATTCCGAAAGTTATAAAGAGGTATAATTTACCTTTTCACTGTTTTCTGATGTCTTTTTTGTAGTTCTCTTGCTGTGTAACCGGCCACGTGGCTTCCAAGTGAATGTCCTATTATGTGTATTTTCTCTAATGGAAGGCCGTTTTCTACTAGTACTTTTATTTGTTCAGCTGCTGCAGCACCGACCTGCAATACCAGAATAGCACATTAGTCAAACAAAAGCCTTACAGTACATAACTGCAGCAGCCAGCAAGAGGCATTGATGTATGTGAATGTAACACATACGTCAACATGTGAACAACGTGTAAATATTACACATACCTAAATAGGTAGGGTAATTTCTCGGACCTCACACCTGGCTCCCGCAAGCCTTACGAGCCCCAGCAGTGGCTGCCCATTAAGGACCCCGTAACCCTTACGGGCGCTTTACGGCATAATATCCGCTAAAAAACCCTGCGAACACCCTCTAAGCTGCTTAGCGCGAAGCCGCGGGATCCCCGTTTAGGGATTCTTCCGCGTGCACTTAAAGCCTGTGTCAAACCGAACGCGTAAACGTTGCAGCGCACCGGGTTGTGATTAAAGCAACAAATTAGAAATGATAGTTAAACCTAAGTCAAACCATAGAATGTGTTCGATTCCCAATAACAAACCCATACCGTCACTGTTGGCAAGGAGGGCACTCCCCAGAATTATAGTGGTAAGGCAAGCGGGAGACTCCGACATCACTCCATCGCAATACCCAGCGGCAGGGACTGTATCAAGCATTTCTCTGTGTTAAAAAAAGGTCTAACCACAGATCGAAGAAAGAATTTTGTGGCTGAAATCAAAGGCGTTCCCGTTACAGCCTAGGGTGTTGCAGCACCGAGCGTTGCATAGGTACAATATCACACAACCGGTCACGCAAAATGCAGCGTGCACAAATAATTTACGATGACACGCGAGCTTCAATCACGCGAGCAAACATTCTGGGTCATTCAAAAACCGGCCTGATCTTCAGTGGTTTTCAATGGATATTTAAGGTTAATTTACTGATTAATATCAGTAAATTAAATTAATCATCTAATGATGTAAAATTTTAATTATTGATGTTAAGTAGTTATAAAATAAAAACTTAATATCAAATAGGTAATACAATCATAAAAAATTACAAGAACATACAATTGTTTGCATTGTTCTTGAGTATAGTTACGTGACTCAGTCCACAAATCACTGAATTATCAGAGAATAGAGACTCCGGTAAATATTATATTTGAATGCGAAACAATACTATCACGCTATGCAACGTGATGTTGCTGTAAATTGTCGAGGAAAATTCATTTCAAGAGTTAGTGCTATATGAATCTCTGTTTCCCGTTGTCATGCTATAACTTAAGAACCACTTTACTTATAACTACCATATTTTTAAGCTTTCTAATTCTTTGTAGAAGGAACAATTTTATGGATATATATATAAGTAAAAGATCTTATTATGCCTGATGGTACGGTAATGCAATTTCCTTTGTGGTAAATTGAAGAGCATGTAGCTCAAAGTAATATAATGAATACAGCCATAAATGTTTTCTAGAGTAAATTTGTCTATATGTCTAATGAGATAGGGTGAAAGTTATGCGAGTTACTACCTGCCTAGCGGAACTAAGTTACTTGCAGTGTGATCAAATGCCTTAACATGCAATACGTATTTCTTTGTATAAGAAACACTTTAATGGATCGAAAAATATTAGTAAAAGATCGTATTGTATATGACGGTAATGCAATTTCCCTTGTGGTAAATTAAATAGCATGTAGGTCAAAGGAATATTATGAATACAGCGATAAAAGTTTACAAGGGGAAAGTTATCCAGGGCGATATTACAAAATATCCTCGCTCAGAGATAGGCTGAAAGTTATGCAAGGCAGGTACCTGCCTAGCGGAACTAAGTCCCTTGCAGTGTGACCAAATGCCTAAACATGCAATATGTACTTATTCACTAACCTCAGTTAGGACCTAGTGCAACGTAAGCTGATTCTTTAACAAATATCATATTTATTTCTTATGTTTTCAGGCATATAACTAACTAGCTGTGCCCCGCGGTGTTACCCGCGGTTTATTAATGATATTTCCCCACAGTAAAACATAGCCTATGTGTTTATCCAGGGCGTCAGCTAACTCCATACCAAATTTTATTAAAATCGCTCCAGCCGTTAAGACTTGAAGAAGTAACAAACATACACACAAACTTTCGCCTTTATAATATTAGTTTGATAATAATAAAGCAGTCTTTGAGCGGCTATAAAGCGTGATTTACCAAGAACTGACAGAAAGACTGACGATTAGGATCCTTTAGTGTCGCCGCACACGGGCCACCCGCCACAGCCACAAACGCCGCCACGAGAAGCTAGAAGCGGCTACTAAAGAGGCTGAAGCGCGCGACAGCGGCCGACTAAGGTAAGGGAGAGAGGGGTGGGGAATCACGCGAGTGACGTATGGCGGCATTTTGTATCGGTGCATTAAGCGGCCGGTGCAGGCCACAAGAAGTGAGCAACGACGATTTGTAACATGTGGCGGCCACCGGCGTATCGTGTGTGGCGAGTCCATATAAAATGTTTGATAACTACATTAAATATGCCGGTGGCGGCGTTTTGTTGTTGTGGTCGGAGGCCCGTGTGCAGCGACACTCACTGTTTAGCGACCATAGAGCATGTAAAGTATCCGAAACGTCAGGAATAATGATTATAGTTAATAAATCTCTAATCTAAAAAGTGTTTTACTAAACCAATATAACATAAGTAGTTACTTTTAGGTTTATATGTGTATAGGGGATGGCAAGCATTCTTTCATTGATATAATATATCAAAAGTTACCTTTTTAGTATTCCTCGCTGCGTTGACCAGGTAAGAACCGTGTGACATGTTTGACCAGTCCAGAAGTATAATGTTTGTGCCAGGCCTACTGTCCAAGTAGGAGCTCACCACGACCTGAAAACCATTAAAAGATAACATGATATTTTAACCGGTATAAAATAAAATAAATATTTGCACACACTCACACCAATTAGCCTAGCCCCAAAGTAAGCAACTGTAAGGTTTGTGTTATGCTAGGGTAACGGATAGAATACATATACTGTACATATATAAGTATATTTATACAGAAATACATATTTAAACATCCATGGCGGGAGTACAAATGCTCGCATTCATCACACAAACATCTGCCCCCACCGGGATACGAACCCGGGACCTCTCGAGTCGGCGCCACCATGAAACCCAGCGTACAAACCACTCGGTCACGTAAAAAAAGGATGTATTTTAATGTAAGTAGGTGTGTAATTTGTCCGGATTGCTTTAAAGCCCTTAGTTTTAGTTATTTCTAAAAGGTTTTTTTATGTTTTTTCTAAGATTTTTTGAATATTAAATTAAAACCAACGATACGACCTGACTTGTGAAGCATTGACCAAAAACAACTAATATTTTATTTGCCTTTGCTGATTGTTATATATCTTTGTTAAGTATTTTCCATGTATTTTTTTATTTATAGATTTCCTGATAAATTCTTAGTTTTGCATGAGGACATCAATTCAATAAATAATTTAAGTATCCTTATTTATTTACGGCAAAACTATACATCCTCGCTTAAGAACAGTATAACTGTCCTTAAGAAAAAAGAAAAAAAAAACAATTGCCTTTTTCAGACTTTACTTTTTACCAAAAGAATTGGACATGCTGTCACTACAGTACTCAGTTTTATAATAAGGAATACAATGATTCATAATTTATTTATAACGCTATTAATATAACCACTCTTCCAGTGGCTTATGCTATATTTAGAACCACGCGGGTAACTATGATTATGTTAGACTACAACAATGTCTATAATTAGCAAAACTGTAATAATTACGTGTAGCAATAACCGCAAGCATGAGCAAATTGATTAAGGATTGTTATTCATCATACTAAAAATATTGGTCTCTATGTTACGCTCTCGTAATTTTTGTATATGGAGACAAGTGGGACTTTGAGTAGGGCTTTTGGAAGAATTCACATTTTTTGCATGGAAATAAAGTAGATTATGAACAAGGGTAGGTTATTTTTTATTCTATTACGCAAGTAAAGTCTTTGTATCATAATTGGAATTTCCGTTTGGAAATATGTACGAGAAAAAATGACGATGTGTAATTTATTGTATGCCGTTCGTTTGAGTGGCGCTCTCTGGCGGATAATCTGGACTTAGAAGTCTGCGATAAAACTGCAAACAATACAATTTAGATTGAATCAGACGCTATTGAATTTAAAACACTTGCAGCACCTCACGAATCTATACAATGAGATATTGTCAAATACTTTATTGACTGATGGTTCAACGACTGTATTTTACTCACAATTTATATATAGCTATTCTTTGTTATTTATAATGTAATATATATTAGACATTTTATATAACAATTCATATGTGACTTGTTTAGTCGATTATATAGTAGATGGTGACTCCATACATGATATCTAAAGTCATTTTTCAATATGACGACTTCGGCTATAATAATACAGGGAGAAAAAATCCTCTGCTGATTTTCTTGTTAGTTCTGAAGTTCTGATATAATTATTAAAGAGACGATAAACGAGAACAGCTTAGGGGTAAACACTAAATGGATCGGCATCGGTAAAATGTTCTCTGAATGAGCTTTATTTAGATTACGTATCCGTTTCTAAATTTATTCGTCGCTAATTTAGAAATACGTGCCTCGTACATAACCTTTAAATTTAGAAAGATTAACCTGGCCCCAAAGCACGATATGATATCTTAAAATACGTTTCTATCACGTCTTATATTATTAATTTCATAGTGTTTTATGCCATGATAGAAATATAATGTCATATCGAAATGTAATGTGAAGCGAAAATCGTGCTAGCGGAACATCGTCCCTGATGAATTAGGTGATGTATTATAAAAGTTTAATTGACTGACCTTCCTGATTTTCATCCTTCGAGTTGTCCTAGTGAGAACTCGATAAACCATAGATTAAAGATTAAATATGAAGCGATATCCGTTATGGAATATCAGTATATCACTCAGTGCTAATCTTAGCACTTAACAAAGCATCGATTGTTGTAAGTTGGTTAGAGCTAGGGGTGGGCAAAGTTCGGACCGCGACCGTGATGGTTTATTTCCGGGCCGCATTAACGCCTTTTAAAGTAAATATACTTACTATAATTGTTACTATAACTTTAATATAATTTTATATTATATTAAAGTTATAGTAACGGTGTCCGAAATTTAATTTGTTTGGGCCTCTTTTTACGTTTTCTTTTTTTTATAATCCTTCTATAATATTTAAATAAAAAATTTTTGAACGTTTAATTATAGTTAAATTTCAAGATTTAAACCTAAATAGGCCTCGTCGATACAAATCAGGAGCAATTAAGATTACAAAATTAATAATTATATGAGTTACACACACACAGGTTCTGCAGAGTAAATAAAAATATTATTAACTAGCGGCTCGCCCTCGCTTCGCTTCGGTGTAGAGCTGTAGTGTAAACTATAGTTTTTGTTTTCAGGCTTGTGCTATAAAGAATGACTTTATTTATATAATTACACGTGTTATTGTGAGTCAACCATAAAAGATAGACATATGCTGTTGCGGGATATTTTTTAGACAATTTTATGTAGAATATTTCCGTCATACATGATTTCTATGTAACTTAAAAAATGGAGTAACTTCTCCCGTTTTCCCAACATTTCCCTTCACTACTCTGCTGCTATTGATTGTAGCGTGATGAAAAGTATACTATAACCTGCCCAGGAGTATGAAGAATAATTGTACCAAGTTTCGTTAAAATCCGTCGAGTAGTTTTTGTTTCTATAAGGAACATACACACAGACAGACATACAGACAGACAAAAATTTTACTGATTGCATTTTTGGCATCAGTATCGATCACTAATCACCCCCTGATAGTTATTTTAAAAATATATTTCATGTACAGAATTGTCATCTCTACAAATTTATTATAAGTATAGATTAGCTAAGCCCTAACAGAGTAACTTCATCATTAGGGCCAAAGCTGAGTAAGATAGAGCCCTGATTAGCAACCGCACATCATAATAGCTCTGTAGATACAATTTTGTTACTTTACTTGTGTTTCTATTTATAAGTATGTTGAACTATCATTGCATTGTGGGGTCAAAAAATATTGTCTATCATTCTTTTTTTAGAAAGCGGTTATATAATATAAGTATATAATATACTTAGTTAAAAAGTAGCTCTGTTTGGTCGTCACTGCTCTGCGTTGACTGAACAGTTGTTGAGCCTATCATTTGATAAGATTGTAATTTGCCAGACAGAGAGGTAGTTTTAACTGTCTCATCTGTGTCTGTATTACCTCAGAATTGGAGTAAGGCTGCTTTTGGTTTTTTTTTAATAATGGAAAAGAAAGGTCCCCTTTTTATTTTTAAATTTGTTGTTACTTTCTCTGTTATGTCTTTTACTGTCTATCTTATAAAATTTACGAGATTCCGCTTACAGACCGATGACATGAGGTTCTTGCAAGCATAGCGGTTAGTGCATTCGTTCATTTCGCCCGGACAGCGAATAGTCCAATCAACGACACTTGCAGAGTGCTATCACGTGCTATCTGCTATCACATGAGTGGTGCTATTACTTTTTAACGCAGAATTCGCAGTGTGATATGAAATTTATTTGAAATCGTATTCTAATTTCAAATCATACCTCGAGCAAGTGAATTTGTTCTCACAGAATAGCACTGCTGGACTGCCTGGGCTGAGTGGAGTGGAATCTTACTTCAATTCGACGCTTATTCTTGCAAAACTACATTTTCATCATTAACTCATATCTTAGCTAAAATTCTGCCCATATCTTTTTTGGTCTTCCTTCTGTCTTTATACCCATTCTTATTCATATTTATAACTGTTGCTTGTTGCACTTTTATTTATCTGTTGTTTACATGGTATATACACACATCAAAAGTGTCTAGGGATCAAGCATTTTTATGCGGATTTCTTGAGATTGAGATGTGGCTTTGTAATAAATTTATGATTTTATAAATTTATATGGATCCTTTTTGGTGCATTTCATAATTTGAATCAGGAACTGTGAATCAAATTCGAGTAAAAGATGAAAATCAGCTGTCAATATTTTCCCTATAAAAACATACAACGCATTGAAGACATTATTAGTGCTACTGTTTCCCTACTACTGATTAAAACCAACGTTATTATGGAGCGGCGACGTCATTTAAGCAGGGAAGAAATGCTCAGAGCCGTGGGAATGATAGAAGCTGGTTCCCGGCAACGTACTGTGGCTTTAGCTCTGAATACAAGTCAGAGTGTTATCAGTCGACTTTGGACACGATACCGAAGCACTGGTACCGTGGCTGAGCGCCATGGAGGACGGTATCGCTGCACCACACGGAGACAAGACCGATACATTCAAATCTTAACTCGAAGAGCTCCAACAATAACCGCCATGATGTTAGCCGTGAGGCTTCATCACTCTTCAGGGAACTTAATTAGCGACCAAACAGTCAGAAACCGCTTGCATGAAGTGAACCTTCATTCCCGAAGACCGCTACGGGTACCACCTATAGCAATGCACAATCGTAGGATTCGATATCAATGGGCTCTTGAACACAGAAATTGGGCAGAAGAACAATGGCGTTTCGTGTGCTTTTCTGATGAGTCTCGTTTTGGTATGAGACCGGATACAAGACGTATACGACACTGGAGAACCCCTGGACGCCAACAGCGATTAAAATCCTGCCAGGAAGTCCATCCTTATAGTGGTGGAACCATCATGGTATGGGCGGGTATTTGGATCGGCGGAAGAACTGAGTTGATTTGGATCAGAGGCAACCTCAACGCTCAAATTTATGCTGAGACGATTGTATCAGACGTCATCGTTCCTCTACAAGTGCAAATCGGTCCCTTATTTCAGTTAATGCATGATAATGCACGACCGCACACCGCAAGAGTTGTAAGACAGACTCTCGCCGCAGCTAACATCAATGTCCTGCCCTGGCCTGCTCAGTCGCCAGACTTGAACCCGATTGAGCATGCATGGGATATGCTACAGAGAAGAGCTCTGCCGAATATGGAGGGTATCCAGTCGCAAGAAGACCTTTTTTTGTTGTTGCAACGAACATGGGCGGCCATTCCACAGCGTGATTTGGATGAACTCATTTTGAGTATGCCAAACCGATGTTCTTGTGTTGTTAGTGTTCGCGGTAGAAATACGGATTATTAATTGTTTAAGTTACCCAATAAAATTTTAGAGAAAACTGTTATTTCAGTCTTTTTTTCGAACTTTTGTGTTAGTGGTTCAAATGTCAAAAATCCCTTTATTAGGAAAATGGCAAATTTCTTTATTAATGCAAAGGTGACTTGGTTTATCGTTACTGTGACAAACGAAAACACTTTATTTGATGAATCCTTAAAGAAAATTTTAATTAATATCAATCAGGAGAAAAGTTATTGCAAAAATATATGTTGATCCCTAGACACTTTTGATGTGTGTATATCCCACATTTTTATTATGTATATATGTACCAGTTTACAACCTACCTCGTGTGACTATCGAAAGATCGTGAATGGGCACTATAATCACTGGCTAAAGCTGTCATTTTCGTAAATGACAATGTTATTGCAATCGAGCTGTTTTGCGCTTTTTTTGATAAGCAATTTGTACATATATTATAAGCGTAATTTTTTTTATGTTTGCATGTTTGTCACTTAGTCACACAAAAACTACTGGACGAAATTGAGAAATATGATACTTTAAAGAAAAGAAAAGTGTAAGGTTCCTGAAGGATTACAAAAAAATGAAGTTAACGCGGACAAAGTCGCGGGCTGTCTTTAGCGAAAATATAGTCTGGACTTCGTATTTTTCTAGAATATAGGTAACGAGTTTGGGTCACCATCCACAATCTTAACTAACAATCCCATTAAATAGAAAATAAACTGAAGATTTGTACAATCACATGTGAGTACTTGTGTAGGTATATTAATGGGTGAACAATTTCTGTTAGACAAATGACGTGTGATAACCACGACAGACAGTAAAGCAGTTTCAAGTCCTTTACATGGCTAACCGCTTACCGTATTAGGCAGTTAGTGTGTAGCATTCAGGAAGGACAAGTTTAAACTAAAGTAGAACAGGACAACGTGCCGACAAACTTAAATTACTTCTAGGACGCTTAGATATCGGCTGTATAATTTGTAAACGCCTCGGCAAAATGGTAATTTACGTCGCGTGACGCCGCAAAATCGAATGTGTATCTTTTTGTATAGGAAGCAAATAATGCTTTATTTTGTAATGTTACCGTAAAAAACGCAGCGTGTCATTTTTGTTATTAGTCTTTTATACAAACTTTTTACAAAGTTGCACTATTTTCAACTTACTGGAAAAAAAGAGCCCGCCTGTTCTTCTTATAACCGAAAATTGGTTCAAAGGTTAAATTCTGTGACAGTTATACATTCTGAATGAGTTTCTACTGAATGTGAAGTTAATAAAGGAATACACACTCGAGCATTGTTAGGTAATTACACCTCCATTGCTTTGAGCTAAAGCAGAGCAAAGCTAAACCACATATGCAATGGAATGCGGTTACTACAAGGATGTCATTGTAGTCGAGGCCATGTTGCTTGTTACTGTTTGGTATTGACAGCTCTATTAGTAAAGAGTACCTCTTTTACCTATTTATTTAGAAGCAATAGAAGCTATTTTCCTTATCCTACTTATATAATAAACAAGCGGCCTCCCGAGCCTTCATCCGCGTTAACTTTAGTTTTTTCACAATCCCACAGGAATCTTAAAATATTCCGGGATAAAAAGCATCCTATGTCTCAATCCAGGACATAAACTATAGGCTTACTAAATTTCATCCAAATCCGTTGGGTAGGTTTTGCGTGATTGAGTAACAAACATACAAATTTTCACATTTATAATATTAAGTAGGTTATAAAAGTTTGTATGTTCCTGAAGTCGCCTATCTTCCAACCAACAACTAGCTTTATATCTTAGCGTCGTCGCTTTAACAGAGATGATCGCCACTGATCAAGCCTGTAAGGCCTTTCTAGGCCAACAGAAAGAGCACAAAATTGATAGTATGGAAGGTAATCTACATACAAAGTGGACTTGAGCAACGCATACGTAGACACCACTCACGCACACGATATATCGGACCGGTTGGGACCACTACTGCCGCGAGTTCCATCCGCTTGAGACACCCGTCTATGAACATTTGCAACAATAAATCAAACTACTAGTTACGAGTGCCAGTACCAGGATAGTTTTTGTGCATAAGTCAAAGCTGTCAATCCTAGCGCGAAGGCGTCTAGCGTAGGTATGAAAAGTTAAATACATTCATGAGATTACCTTCTGTACTATCTATTTTGTGATAAGTCTAAAGTCAATCTACATATATATCTACCTACGTATATACCTAAAGCAGTAATAGTCTAAAAATAACTCCACATGAGCATTCACCTCACCTATCAATGTTTAGAGAATATTGATTACAATATTATTTCGGGAATAATAACAAAAGCCTGTTATTTATGAGATTTAGGGCATAGAAAATTTTCCGTTCAAAATGTACTCGTTTGGGAAAGGAACTTTCCGCCTTACAGATGATACACGGTAAAATTACACTTCCTTTTATTTATGTTATATTAATATTAATTTATTTGGAACAAATTTATTACAAACATGATACGTTAATATCTGCAATAATTTTACAAAATTGAGTTGCAGATTAATGGAAGTTATATTATCCATTCTTGAGAAGGGTGCGGGTTCGAGTTCCATCAGCTGCCTGGTCCGCGTTAAATTTTGTCTAGATTTTCTTTAGATTTAAACATTTAAGCATGCTTGAAAAATAAAAATATAATTATCCATTCCTGTTTTAATTGAGAACAGCGTCTCTGTCAATGAGTAGGGGATTTGGTTCAATCAACGGCAATAAGATGAGGAGGGGATGAAAAGATTTTCATCCTGTATTATCTACTTCGCTTAATAAAGTTTGCTAGCACCACATGAGTATGGGGCAAAGCTTCATGTAGTGCGTGTGTAAGAGTGAGCACTGGCGGCCTGTCGGCGCCAATAGAAAAGTTTCTCGGCCTATGCGACATGTCGCCAGAAGCCAAAGCACGAATTTTGATAGTTCTGTAATCATATCGTCGTCATCAAAATTTGTATGGATGGAGCCAGTTTGTTTTTACGTCCGGTTTTTACTCCGCTGCTGAGTTTTCATACAAACTTTTTTTTTACTTTTGCGATACGATTATGGAATTGTCAAATTCGTGCATAGACCACAGTGGTCATTCACACATGCGCAATTGTATGAAGTTTAGGTTTGATATGAGAGTTATCTGTACTTTAAAAAAAGTGATTTGTCAGTGTTATATTTCTACAATGGATGAGATGAGCGCCGCAATTTGATTATTATTTTGAGTGTATATGCTGTTGGTCGCAGATGACCTTTACAGCGTCACCGGGTTTGGGGACGGCGAGATCCTAAGGGGACCTCAAGCTGAGAATTTGCGAGTGCCTCTAGAGGTATTCCAGGCGGATGGCATCTCCCCACGGGGGAGTCTCCTCTCCGTCTGGAGCCTCTAGACTACTCAAACCTGACCCCCTCCAGCTCAACTAGAGGGCGTCTCTGAGACAACCGCAATTTGAGAGCAGGAAAGAAGTAAGTTACAGTAATTACAGTAATTAAAACGTACCTGGATGCTTTCTTGCTGAGCTGTTTCAATGAAGCCGTGGATATACAAAACGGTTGGGTTGTTTCTGTCGAACTCTTTGATGTTGAACAGTTGAGTCGCTTCTGCCAGTGGAAACTCCACGTAATCTTGAGGAGAGGACCTGAATAGATATTTAAGACTCGGTCATTATTATGTTCACTGCTCAGAATTTTCATCTGGACTATTTCCAGATTAAAACTCTGAGCAGTGATCATTTGAATAGTTTTTATAGAACTGGAATGTTTTATGGATAGAAATATACACCGTGTGCAGTGCACACAGTTAATTTTAAATACTAAACGCACTAAACCCCCAAACAAAAATATTTATTTACATTGTTTTACAAAATTTCCCAAAACGGCGCATATTCGTAAATAACATACCTATTATTTTATTTTTTAATTTGGAAATCAACGGCGTTTCATGGAATTATTATCTGTTAAAAGTACCTAGATCCTAAAATTGGTTTTATTTGAATCGGCTTATGAAGTTAAAATTGTTAAAGTTTCATAATTTACACAACGTGGAGATTTTTTGAAAACAATACTTAAAGAAAATATTTTTTTACGGAAATATTACCTAAATCGTTGTCTGAATTAGCTAGTAAAGGTTTTCAGGTAACTCAAAATTCACGATGTATCATTGAAAGTAAATCGTTGCAAAATGTGGTGACATTGCAATGCCGTCATGGGTTATAATATTGTTAATGCGGTTGCGTCCTTGCGGTCAAAGTCACGGCCAAAGTTAAGTTGCCTATTAAATCAATGTTAGTTAAAAATCTTTTAGTGTTTAAGTGACATTTATCTAAGTTCAAATTATTTTCATTTTTAAGATATTGAATTCTTTTTTGTAAATTAATCATTTGTTTAATTTAGAGCGTCCTGTTTTCAGCGCACTTGTACGGTTTTTCCTCATCATGGTTAGGATAAAAATTCGAGTGACTATGGAGTATGAATACTGTCGTGGCAGCAAAGCGGCATAAGCGTAACGCAGTATCAACGATGTATACGGAGCAAACACTACTAACGGTCGCTCCACCCGTTATTGGTTTGACCGCTCTCGTTCTGGAAATTTCGACCTAAGAAATGAACCCCATGATCGACCGAAACTTTATAGTCAACAATGACGAATTAAAGGCGATTCTAGAAGCTGATTATTCTCAATCTTCAGCTGAATTAGAAGCAGTTTCGGTGTTAGTATCAAAACAATATTGGTCTATTTGTGTCAAATTGGCATGGTAAAAAAGTACGCACGACCGCATACTGCAAAAGTTGGAGAACATCTCCAAGTTAAAAGAGCTCTTTTAACTTGGAGATGTTCTCCAACTTGTGCAGTAGGTTTGTAAGTTCTCCGTACTCACCAGACCTTGCCACTACATACTTCTTCATATTGAATCGCATTGTTACTTACGACAAGAAAAATGTATTCTGCTCGACAACTGGTTCTGGTTCAGCACCTAAACAATGCCCCAACGAGAATTGGTCCCTAAAAAAGTGATTGTTACTGTTTGGTAGTCTAGCGCCGGTGTAATCCATCATAGCTTCTTACCAAACAGAATGAGCATTACTGCAGATAAGTATTGTAAAGAACTGAACTCAATAATGACAACCAACTGCCAAGCAAACACATCCAACCGACTTTGTTCAATCGTTCGGCGCCGCTGCTCCTGCACGACAACGCGCGACCTCATACTGCACAAGTTGGAGAACGTCTCCAAGTTAAAAGAGCTAGGTTTGGAAGTTCTCCGTCATCCGACGTACTCACCAGACATTGCCACTACAGACTTCTTCATTTTCAAGAATTTGAATAACTTCTTGGCCTGGAAAACATTCAATAACCGAGAGGCAGTTCAAAATGCCTTTGAAGAATTTGTTGCCGCCCAAAAACACAAAATTTGTATAATTGTTTTGAAAAGCATTTTTTTTATTACAGTGGGATTTTAAAACGCTTTCGACACCAAACTTCTCAATCTTCAAATCTTTTAAAGCCATTTCTCATAGTTACAGCTGAATGTCGGACAGAAATTACTCTTAGCATTCTTTTACTTGATTTCTAGAATAAAGTGTGTTTATTATTCCCTCCGTCCCTAACTACTCTGTATGATCATTGGTTGAGAAAAAAGAACAAGAAACATACAAGTTATTGTATAATAACTTAAACATTTCGAGCATCTGAAACTTCTATTTAAAAGTTTCCTTATCCACATTTTCTGTCACCATATTATTTGGTTCACTCATAATTAAGCTTATGCACCCAAACACTCAACGTATAAACAAAAAATAAGAAATAAATTTATGGGAACACCGCAAGAGCACAAGTTAAATTATTTACAGGCTTAAATTATTTTTAATAACAAGAACCGACAAGAAATAACAAGAAACTATAGACTTATTTTTAAAGTTTTTTTTACGTTAACTTAGAATTTTGATTTCGTCACGGCTTTAAGAAACCGTCAACTTGAAAAGATGGTTTAAACTTCAACTACCGATGCGATGCCTTTACGTGTTCCCGAGATAAAGGACAGACAAGACAGACAGACAGACAGATAAACGGCCATATCTTATTTATAGACTACTATTATATACTATTTATATACTATAGACTTGGGTATAGGGTATAAATTTCAACTTGATACCCCTACGCGTTCCCGAGATAAAGGGTTTTGACAGACGGACAGATGGACAGACGGATAATAAAGTGATTTTATAAGGATTCCGTTTTGTCTTTTGAGGTACGGAACCCGAAAAATAGCAAAAGAAGACGACTGCCACCATCTGCTTATTCAAGGAAGCAGGAGCAATGTTGTAAAGAAAACCTTTCTTGCAACCTCAAAAAAAAAAGTTCAGGTGCCAGTCAGACACAAACAATCAATATTAAAAACTACTTACACAAATGTTATGGAAATAAAGAGGCTTGTATTTATACATTTAAGAATAATTAAAACAAAAAATATACTATAACAATGAACCTAAAACTAAAAACCTTAAAAAAAATAAAATATAATAACTAAAATACATTATTAAAAGGAGTCCCTTTAGGCAAGGTTCCGAAGATACTGGCAGCGTTCCCCCTTTGGATAGCTAGACTAATTCTTTGTCCAAGGTAGCTGCCAGCTCTTCGGTCTCCTGTGATGTCGACTAATCTTTTCGCTATTTCTTTAAAAAGCCTTATAGCGCTAGGACCCCACGGACCAAGGGTCTCGACACCGAATGGGACAAAATCATATTCGGAGCCTAGACCCCTGTATTTGCCTGCCTTAGCTTTTTCAGCCGCTTCACAAGCCGCACCAGCTCTGTTGTTGGTTCCATGTAGATGGGAAGGGGCCAGCGTGTCTGAACAGGTTGCATCCCATACTAGCACCCGACCCATCTTCCATGGAATCAAACTCATACCGTCCGGTCTCTTGCCATCGTCTCTTGCAATACCAGTTGGCTCAAGTAGACTTGGCACGTTGACGGTGGCAAGGGACCGGCGTATGATATCGTTAAGTGCGGCGTGTCTCGAGAAGCGGCCTGCACTTTTTTGGCAAGACAGTCCATGATGTCCTAGCTTGTCGACATCACTGCCACAGGGACATTTATGAGGAGCGCAGACCGGGACCCCAAGCCGTAGACAGGTTGCCATTCGGATTGTGTCAGGCTCAAGAAATGTGCCCGTATTTGTCGAAGGGTACGCGTGAAGCCAGTAGCCAGCCTCATGCGTACCCACGGCCAAAAGCCTAGCACGCGCCGAACCTGTACTGCAGCTCAAAAGGTTATTATAGGTTAATTTACAATTTATGTCGTCCCAGCTCCTCTGTGAATTTGGAGAAACTGGAAAATTTTGACCTGGGCATGCAATTAAGAAAGCGTTTCTAGCTTCTTCCAAGCCAGCAATCTCAAAGTTTGAAGGGGGTGCCCTTAAAATTTTACTTATGAGATTTGCTGAACTATGGACAGAAGATAGGAAGGCTGGTAAAGCGACACTGGAAATTTTGCGAATCCCTAAACCACCATAACGGATGGGTAGGGATGCTTGGGTCCAAGATTGCTCGTTCAGCTGCATATTAAGAATCGATTCTAATTTAATTTTGATTAAGTCGTCTAATTGTGACAAAAGATCTAAGTGATTCCAAAAGGAGCAGCAACGGAGCACATACGTAAATTTTGGGACAAAAAGACAGAATTTTAAGATGCAAAGTGCATAATGTGGACTAATTTCAAGGAGACGGTCGGATTACACAAATTGATGTTAATATGTTGGCATCTACAAAAAATCACAATGATGTACCAGTAGTATATTCATTGCTACAAGAGGCAATTATCCCTCGTGTATTTTTTAACCTTCCGCTCGAGAAGATAACAGCTATCCCTTCTTTGAGAGGTGTATTAAAGCCAGCTTTGTTCAAAACTGATATTAATTACGTTTTAAAAAGTAGGCTACTGTGAAAAATTAAGGGCTTGTCTATTGATATACATGATGCATCACTACTTGTAGGACCATATTTTTGAACAATAGAGCTTTATTGAAAAATGGGTCAACTATCCGGCTTTTCGCCTAAGTACTCTTTTAAAGTGAATCCTTTTTAACTCCGCCACAAATAATTCGTCCATCTTTAGCATTACCATTTAATTGTTATTAGAAAATTCAGACCTTGTTAACGTAAGTTACGTTAAGTATCGGTGGTTCAGTGGTAGAAAGCTCGTCTGCTATGCGGGCGGACTGGGTTCGATTCCCAGCCGAGGAAAGTTTTTTTTTATTAATGATTCTAAATGTTTCACTTGCATTGTGGAAAACCACTTGTTTTCTAATACAGTGTAATTAACCTTTATTATAAAGCAGCACGTATTGATGAGCTCAATTCCGTAGTGGTTAGCGCGTTTAATCTGCAATCGTGAAATTTAGGTAACTTTTACATCGGCTGGTTATAGGATGGGTGACCAAAGTTTTACTGTCTCGAACTTTTCCGTGACACATTGAGTCGTTGGTCTCGACTGCATCTGCAGTCGTAAGCGCTCACAAATCGACACCCAGGAGCTTTATATTTAATTCGCTCGCCTGACATAGTATCGTCGAATGCGACTTAAGTCACCTGCGTCTTCCAAGTTGCATGATGCTGATTTTCCGTATTTTTGAGTTGTTCATCTCCAGTGTTACTAATACTAAATTTTATTATATATCATGTAAGATATATCACGAAGATTATACAGGGTTAATTTTAAAACACCAACAACCTCTTAGGGGTTGATTCTATCCACGTGTGTGGTCACGACCACTCGTTAAAGAACGTAACATTAAAAATACGGAATTTATTATGTCGAATGAAAATTTGTAGAAATCTCGACGCAAGGCGAGTGAATCAAAAATAGAGCTCCGGGTCCACGTGGCATGTCATAGGCCAATCTCCCTATTCCATTCATAGGGAAGGTTGTGCCCCAGGATAATAGACATTTGTATAATGATGATGACACAAGGTATCTCATATTTGACGTAACAGGAGGGATAAACGATAACATTGAACACATTTGTATTAGCCTCTTTATCGCCACATTAACCGTAGCGTACTTCACTTCTTGATTTACGCTAAGTTGTAATCTAGTGCTTGGTGATAATAATCGCTATTCAAATATTAATAATATTGGCAAGTTTTTTTTTATTATTTAATATTGGCAAATCTGGTAAAAAATGTGCATACACCTACACACATAATATGTAATTAATTAAATATACTGGCAAATATATAATATATAGTGGCAAATGATGAATTGCAGTATCGGTTAAAATTGCTACTCATTACATGTTTCTCAGTCCGGGAATCACGAAACTTTGAAATATGAAGTTGTTAAAAATAAACACACGTATTTATTTTCCAACGCTCGATGTATGGGTATGGTTCTCTCGGGAAATACGGGGCAGGTCGGAAATTCTGTCAGACTTTTCCAACTAAAAACCACCTGACTGGGAGGAAGAAAAGATGTTTTGAGACGACATGTCGGAAACGATTGCCTCTGGGGATGGGACGATTCCAAAATATAAGTATTAGGTAAAAACACATGAAGTTATCGTAAGCTGAAATCTTTCCTCAATTAATTGTGAAATTTATATCAAGTCAAATAAAGCTTGAGGTCAACTGAAAAAAAAAAATGTTTTTGAGTAGCTTGATCTGTGGCTGTTTGTAACGCGATTTATAATATTAATTTAAAATAATTCATTTCCACTCAAAGAGGGTTACAAAAGTTAGGATAATGCAAAGTAGTACTTATAATTAGCAATTTTTTCCCGAGACTGGTGCCTGCACTAGGCTGTTTGTATCTGTAACAGTGTTACACATTTATAAACCGGTGGTTAGTTTCTGGTGGTTTATGGAAGCAGGCTATGGTGGAAATTGGAGTCTATACCGAAACGAAGATTGAAGATTTAAATTCGAAAGAGATGGTAACAGGCTTTAACATGACTTTATTATAAATTTCATTTAAGAACTTTATACTATATTTTAGACTAGCGGCCGCTCGCGACTTCTTACGCGTGGAGTTAGTTAGAAATAAAGGTTCACTGCTCGTTCCCCCTAGGTGATAGCGTGATAATATGTAGCCTATATGTTGACCTGACTTCTTAATAATATTTGTGCCAAATTTAAAGTAACTCCATGCAGTACTTTTTGAGTGTATCCCGGACATACATACAGACAAACAGACAAAAATTCTAAAAACTATATTTTTGGATTCGGTATCGATTGTAGATCACACCTCAAGTATTCTTTTAAAAAAAATCTCAAGGAACAGTTTAGACTTCCCTACCATTTTATTATATGTATAGATGCTTTTTATTATATGGATAGCGCATGACTGTACACAATGTGAAGCATTTTTTTTAAAGTTAAACTTTTATTACATAGACACTTTTTCGTCAATCTTTAGCACTTCGTATAACAATTATAATTGTTATTAAAAAGTCAGACCTTATTATCAAGTATCGGTGGTTCACTGGTCGAAAGCTCGTCTGCTACGCGGGTGACACGGGTTCAATTCGCAGCCGAGGGATGACTTTTAGAATTTATACTTCTTTTCAGACGGGGTGTAAATGCAAAAAATTTATGGATAAACGAACGAAACGGAGTTGTGCCACCTGCTTCACACAACTATATCTGACGTGTGTGTTTGTGTGTGGGATGTATGCGCAGCTCTTCCCAACGAGCATGAAAGTTGGAGGGTAACTTGGCGAAGGCTGAAACGCTACGAGCGTCACGAGTGTCACACGAGACAATATATATATATATATATACATGTATATGAGTGATGCGTGCGCTGTTCCATTCCCTTCTGCCCTATGCGCCGCCTAAGGTTAGGTTATTTAAGACAAGAAGTTTCACTTCAAATGTGTGGTCCGTGCACACAATTTTTTATTTATCAATGATTTTTTATCCATAAATGTATGTGTTTTACGTCGTTAAATACTAATGCAGCTTTATATTAAAAATAAAATCCATTTTTATGCTTTATAATATTATTATATATAAATAAACTTACCCATTGTAGAAACGTAGATAAATATCATCTAATCGATTATTTCTGTTCGGTATAGCACCTGAAACAAAAGAAACATTTGATTTTATTATACGATTAAAGTAAACATTTATAATTGCAATATAAGTACGAATATACTTCAGATTTTTTTATATAGTTCCGGGTTGGTTACAGGTCATACTTGTTAAAAAAAAAAATCATTCTATTACAATAAGTTGGATTAATATTAAATAATTATAAGATTAATAAGGAAATTTTTATTAGATTAAGGTCGGATTTTTGAAAATGAGCCCTAAAATTATTATATAAATCAGGTATTAACCTTTCATTAAAATATAACACTTGGAGTATCGTTTCTTAAATCCAATATAAGTTAGCGCCACTAGGGTTTGATTTAAGGGAAAATAACATAATTAGCTTATATTGCGCAATAAAGAAAGAAGCCTCAAAATTTCTTTTGAATTAAGGCTTCGTATTGTGAATTATTAAATAAAGCGGTTGTATACTTTAAAACAATTAAATTTTAAACGCTGCTCTGACTTCCTTATTAAATTTTTTAGGCCTTTTTTTAATATAACACACACCCTATTAACTGGAAGGAAAAGAATTTCCTATCTGATGTATTTACAGCCATGAATAAAATGAGTTTCAATTACAAATGTTACATGAATAAAAAATAGTGCCGTGGTGTCAATGTTTAAAAAAAATGCTGTAAGGACTTTTCATTCTTTGACTTTATGTATAAAAATAAAGTTAATATGCTACAAAATAATGTAATGACATGAGGTAGGGTCGCCAAAGATCGGACGCTTTTGAGTTGAGTTACGACTGTGTTGCAAAATGAAGTTTTTTACTTTCTATAAGTATTTTCCCAATGGACTCTTGGTGAAAGTTATCAGCAATGATAACAATTATCTAGTCACGTTTCATTTATTTTTAATACATTCAATAGATTATCTGATATACTTCTTTAAAGTGAAGCCAAAGTTCGGACTGCTGCTTAATTTCACCAATATAGCTACAGTATAGAAGAAAATATCCTTCCCTAAATTGACAATATTTTCAAAAACGGCACTTTTTATTTCGAGCTTCATTACACGCGTCTTGTTTTGTGTAACGCTGTTTTTGGTATGAGGGGAAGGGCAGAATTAAATGGCGGACCAATAATTATGTTCTCATCTGTCATAAATATCGCTTTGTTCACAGTAAATATTAAGTATCCGATCTTAGGCAAATCTACCTTTCTTCATACATAATTTATAGCTACTTTCCCATTACCAATTTGTACCAAAATTTCAACAATGAGCAATCATAGTCTAAATCCCTATAAAAATCTGATATTGTCTTTTCCTTAAAAATATACAGAATTGAAGATAACTACTAGTCTACGAACTTTCATTTCGTCATAAAATGCCTTCAACAAAACAAAAAATAAAACCGACTTCAAAATCGAAAATGGAACTAAAAATATACAGCCGAACACAGAATCTCCTCCTTTTTTGAAGTCGGTTAAAAAGTAAAAAATAATTTCTGGTTCATGATTTGGAAGTCTGGCGGGTCAAGATTTCCAACATCAGATCCTGAATTGGTTCCAATAAGACTACCTCAGAGGTGCACAGATTCCAAAGAGGAATAAAAAAAGAATTTTGGTAATCGTTCCACAATTGACGAAGAAATCGGTGAACATGCATAAAAAAACATCGTGCGTGCCTTTAAAATTTGATGGTTTCCCTCGATTTCCCCGGATTCCACCATCAGATCCTGACTTGGTTCCAATGGGACCGCCTCTAAAGTGCACTCTTTCGAATAAAATAAGAATTTTGGAAATCGGTCTACAATTGGCGGAGAAATCGGTGAACATACATAAAAAAAATACAGTCGAACACCGAACCTCCTCCTTTTTTGAAGTCGGTTAAAAAAGACGTAGAAACCAATTAAATTCAACTTCTTTATTTTCACTTCTAACTCCTTATAAACAAAATCTATGAGAGATAGTTTCTGGTCTCGGTCTATTCTAAATAATTTTCGCAACAAACATTTTCAACACTTCCATAACGAATTATTCACATACCTCTATTAACTTTCAAATCGGAATTGAACCTGTTTTCGAATTGACATTGAACTGCAGTACCGAGAAATAACAATGAAGAAACAAACGTAATCATTTTTGTAATGCAAGAATATTTTAACGAGCACGTCTGCACAGTAATGTTTTCTGATGCAGATTGAAAACAGAGAAAAACAGGGGAATGTAAAAAACGCAATTTTGTTTTTGAAATTACGCTACTGGAAGTTTTGTTATCTTGATGTAAGTATTGTAAATTTCCGACCATTATGCATGTAAAAACGAAACATTAAATTGTGATTATGATCATTCACCTTATTACCACAAAAAGTTACATAAGTTCATCACGAGTATAAAAAATACGTACAAAATTTGCCTAAATAAGGTTTGAAACCATGTCTAACTGTTTGAAGACCGTTTATGTCTACTGTGTGTACTTATAAAAAAAGTCTTCCTTATGAAGAAAATACATTAAAGCCGATGTTACAATTCAAAGGATGACTTCTAACCTAATTGAACCTACTGGACCCTGGAATCCCTATTTCCAATAGGCGGCAATTATCTAAATGCACTTTCAGTGCCCAGACCCTAATCGCACCCTGCGTTTAGGTTCAAATAATGATAAAAAAAATGTTTAGAAAATCCACAAGAAATTTAGAAATTGGAATGATTTTGTATTGTTCTTTCCAGTCTTTTTTCCTTTTTATTATCGTTACTGTTTTTGTATAAGTAAATGTGCAAAGCCAGATCTTGTTGCTGATATCAAGTAAATGCTATGTAGGTACTTAGGTTTGAAATAAAAAATGAATAAAGGTAATGAATTTAAATAATACCGCGCTATTAGAAATTTCGAAACATATCAGTTTATTGAAGTGGATATCGAAATAAAGCAGCAATATACATTAGCAACAGTGTTCTCGAAATATTAATTAAATTATAGCACTTAACTCTTTACGTTTTTCACGTTTACTGATACAACTTGATGATGTCATTAGCTTTCATGATCGGCATTTTAAAACCACTTTATTTATTAACCCACATAAAAGCACTCTGTGTTTTCTGTTTACTTCAACGTATGTACCATGCGGGCTGATCACTCATATAGCAAACAACGTTATTTAATGATTATACATTTGGCATTTAGCACACATAAACGTTTGTTACGTATACAGCTTAATAATTAAGTTACTCGTTCACTGATTCTATTGTTATCGTAGAGAATATGACAGCAGCGACTTTAATCAAACTTTAAAGTTTATTTTTGTCTTAGTGTAAGTATTCGTCCAGAAATTATAATGAAAAGTTTTCAACCCATTTAAGAAGAAAAATCTGTCCGTTGATAGACCTCTACTATCTGGAAAAGGTGTATGCCGCCTTTTATATTTTTTATTCTCTCTCACTCAACCTATAATATTTTAACATTCAAAGTGTAACAAAAAAATCCACTAACAGGCTCATAAATATGTCATTTCGAACAACTTCACACAAGTAGTTATTAAAGGAACTAAATTATGCATCTACTGCAACTATACGTAAGCAAGTAATTAGGTAATTTTCATTACAAGTAACCATTTAATATTCATTTGAATATTGCACAATTGTGCTCAGTGTACTTTGCTTGGAGCGATTCAAAAGGCTGACCCCAACGATGTGAGGGCCACGCTGACCCGGTTTCTACAATTAAAAATTCATCTTAGACACTCTTCAAACTGTCTTTATCAATAGAACGATTATTTCTAGTCATATCATACATATTTCTACACTTTTGCCTTACATGGTAATGATAACCTATAGTCTTATTACATTATACTCTTAAGTTCAGTTTGTTTATTTTAGTAAGATCCAAAGAGGGCGTTTTGGAACTCTATTTATTTATAAAGGACAGCCAAAAAAACAAACACCAAATAACAATACAAACTGAGAAAGAAATAAAGAAAACAATTCTTAGTGCTGCCTTACTTAAAGGCTGCATGCGTTAAAATTTACTTACGAAGTAGACTTACTATAAACAAAATAAGGGAACCTAGTACAAACACTTCAAAACCACAAAACTTAATATTAGGTACATATTCATATCCATTCTGACATCATTATCCAGACCCAAAAACAGATCCAATACCAGTCCCTCACTTGCACTCTGTATACAGAATGACAAGGATAGACTGCCGTCAAATCCGAGTCGAGGCTTAGAGAACCCTGCCAGAATCGACACCGTTTTGGTGGTATGCTAAACAATAATATGGTTTGATCTATGTGGGCACAAAGAAGTCTAAAAGAGCAGACTTAAATTTGCGAAGAGAGGAAGACATGTCAATATCACTGTGTTTGTATGAAGCAGCCAGCATACGTGATAGTGTGTTATATTGTGACTGAAGTCTATTAATGGTACAAAAATGACCAAGGTTAGTTCTGGAAGCCCCTGCACAGAAAGGTGTATAACGTGAAGGTGGAGCAGATTTATATGGGATGTTAAAGTTAATCTGCGCCAATAAGTGTGAGCAATCTAAGTGACCTTTTAGTAATTTGAAAATTAAAATGTGATCATGCATTTTACGTCGATTTTCGAGGCCGTTAAGCTTAAAGTGAATCAGACCCGATCTGTATGTGGGTAGTTGTTAGGACAAGTAGTGTTTATAAGTTAAGTGCCCCAAGAACCTTTTTCTTTTATAGATTCAATACGTTGTTTATGAACCTCGTAATACGGTGTCCAAATCACATTGCAGTATTGTAAGCCAGGTCTAACCAAGGTGTTGAAAACTGCTATTTTGCTTGAGACTTGTTTATCTTCCTTGTAATTTCGTAATACAAATCCCAAAAGCTTAAAGCTCTTTTTAGTAATTTTGTCTATATGTATATGAAAATGAAGTTTTTGATCCATGAATACACCCAAATTACGAATAACGTCCACTTCTCCGATCATATCATTATTTATTTTATAGTTATTAAAGTAAGGAGATTTTCTCCGACAGAAGTGTAGAAAGCTACATTTTGAAACG